CAGGTTCCACTTGTTCGTTCAAATCATCTAATTTTAGTAATTATTATAGTTAAATTATATCAGTATCAAATTTTGAATTTGTCAATTTTTTTCTTTTTTTTTTTTTTTAAAAAAAAAATACATACTTCCTATTACACTTTCAAAGAATGATTCCGGAATTACAGGATTATAAGCTTTCCAAGGTATCAATCCTGTCCGTCTAATAGAAACTTCTGTATTTAATACGACCAATTTGACTGTGAATTTTACAATATCTATATCTGGCGCGACTTTTCCGCGAGAGTAAATAACACCCGGCCAATTTGTAATCGGTGAGTCACCAACGATTAAATCTTTAAATTTGTCAATGAGAATGGCATCACCAGTCTTTGCAAGAATGACCCAGACTATTTCACCAGTACGATATTCGGCGTATTTTGCTTTTGGACGATCATCTTTTTTACGTCCTCTTGTTGATGGATCTTTAGATGAATCTTTGGATGATTCACCATCTCCGCTAGGTTTTAACATCCGTGATTTTGAGAGAGAACGTGATGTTGGAAGAGATTCTGATTCTTGTGGATTATGTGCAGATTCCGAGAGTTTGGATGATTTTATAGCAGTAGCTTTACTCGATGATCTTGATACCTTTGGCTTAGATGTTGAAACGCTTGACGTTGGTTTTATCACTTTTGGAGATGGGGGAGATGGGGGACAATATACGCATTGACATTGTTGTGAGTCTTTTGACACTAGCCATCTTAAATGAGGTATGAATTCATTCGGTGATTCGAATTTATGCGCGCCTATTCAGTTAAATTTTAATTAAAATAATATTAATAATAATAGAACTATAATTTTTTTAATATTCTTAATGTTCATTGTTCATTATTGCTTACCGAACAAATAGGTATCCGGTTTCTGTGTGCCATCAGATATCACTTTTTCGTAAAGAAAATATCCCTCTGGGAAATCGAGTAAAACTTCTTGTGCTATCATGTTTAATTAATAAATTATGTTATGTACTAATCAAATACACGTTTGTTATTGCGAGTGTATAAATTACATTTGTTAATTTGATAATCTCCATTTTCGCGTAGCCATTTAGCTAAAGACTGTCCAAGTTTGGTTAACCATGATACAGCTTTGTCTTCTTCTTTGTCAATTTGCCGATAATAGCATGTAGAGGTATCGCTATCAGTATTGGTTGGTTGGAAAGAGCCAACTCCATCGGACTTTGTGACCGAAATACCAATTTTTGTAATAACAACATTCATTGTTAATTGCGCTATAGGATTAAAGATAATGAATACAATTTAGAATTATTTAAGTATGGAAACGGTTTAATTTAAATTAAAAAGCTAAAAAGAAAGCTCTAAAAATTTAAAATCGATATAAATACATAAAAATATAATTTCGTCACTAAAAAAAACAATTTAATACAAATGAAAAAAAAAAAAAATTTAAATTGAAAATGAGAAAACGTTTTCAACAAAGTCAAAGGACTTACCGTTAATTGACAAAAAAGTAACAAATACGAAAGGTTTCTTGTCGTTCTACGAGTTAAGTTTCTGTAGGGACACGAGACAATAATTTCAAATGGTCTGAACAACAAAGGACAAATTTCGATATTTGTTTCCGAAGACAACGAAAACAAATCAATCTTAAATTACGATCTCGGAACTGGCATAATTTATACATATCTAATTTTGTGATTTCCGCTTAGGTACTTACGTGCGTACGATGATCACAAGGGTAACACTTGTGTGGAAATTCTAGTTCAGGAATTATAGCATATCGATATTGATGTCGGATATCCTGTTAATCCAGACCAAAATCTGACCGAGACCAATCAATTGCACATTCTTTTTGTAAATAAACGTGAAAAACAAAGTCTTAGGTGACGCAAAATCCAGTTTTTTGACATCAAGAGTAAAGCATACATTTCAATTATA